TGATGCCCAGTTTTAAAGTGCCCGATATGGGGTGTGCCCTTGAGTTTTGTTAACTCAGCAGAGGAACTACACACAGCAGCTGTCTCACCCTCTCCTGGGTTGTATTGCCCTTATATTGCTCTAAATACAGTTTAATTACAGTTTTCCTTTCTGTTGCACCTTTGTTCTTGGTGTATATGTTATTTATCTTACAGGAGCTGTTGACTTTGTTTTGTGGTGATTTGATTATGAATATGTGGAGGAGGTGAGACTGGTGTCTTAACTGTGCAGTCACCTTGCTATATTCCTTATTTTCTATATTATAAACTTTTTATAATTTATTTTTCCGTGAGTCAGCTAAACCATTCAGATGTACTGGGTAGTGGTAATGATACTTACCAGCAGTCACAGTACAGGATCTAAGTCTTAGATTGAGGCTTACTGAGTTCATAAGCAAATAATTAAATTTCTGTAAATCTCAACTAACTTACTTGGCAAATTGAAGATAGTAATTATTTCCTCATCAACCTAAGAAAATGTACAAATATATGTAATCCTCTAAACACAGAGTCGGGCCTCCCTGGTAGCGCAGCAGGTTGAGCGCCGCACTGTGAAGCTGTCTGCAGCACGAGTTTGATCCCCGGCCAACCAGGGAGAAACCCACATGGCATGGCAGACCTCTCCTGTCTCACCTGCTGCTCCCTTAGCACTGTCTTTGGTCAGTCTGCCTGTTCTGCTCCCCGCTCTGTCTCTAGTGAATTCTCTCACCCTCCCACACCTCTGACCTAATAAATAAAATCTTTATTTAAAAAAAATATATAAAAACAGAGATCGCTATATTCACCAGCCAATGTATTGTGATCAAGGTCTGCTTTTTTAAAGAGCAAGGAAACATCTTTTCACTCCCCCATCCCTTTTATGCTTCCAATATTTTTTTTTTAATGCTGATATCTACTCATATGTATGTATAGTCCAAACTATTTCAATGAGAGGAAAGTATTTCACTTTCCTTGGCATTTGTTTGGATGTCTCTTATCAAGTAAAACTTCCAGGTTTACATATTTTAAAAGGTTCTCCTTCTATAGAGTTCACACTTTCTTTGTATCACAGATCATTTCACTCTATTTGTCTTTTTGTAATTCACAGACTCTCTCTGATTCAAGAGGAATTTAAAATTTGGGATATAAATTTCGTTTTGGTATATTCACTTTTTTTTGTTTTTTTTTTCTTCTACTCAGTTTTCCAAATATCTAAAATATTATAAACAATCAATCATACTTATGTTTTCACTCTATCTCCTTAAGTCATTCAAAACATATACTTTAGCTTCTTAAATATAGATGAAATTTGTTCCAATAGTCAACTGTTTCTCCTAACACTGTTTAATAAATATTTTAATCCATTAAAATGGTGATTTTACATGCATATCTTAAAGATTTTATATATAAATATATACATTTATACACCATAGTTTATTTCAGAATTAACCAGTTTATTAATCTATGTATATACCATTACCATTTATCGATAATCTTTTAATGTATTAGATAATAATTTTAGTATCAGTTAGCCAAGATCCCTCACAATTTTAAACTCCAAAATTCTGTTATGCTTGCTTTGCTATTTAGTCTTCCCCATTAATTTTGGATTAATTTTGTTAATGAGAAAGTAATATTATTGGGGCTAAACTGCACACTTTTCAGAACAGATGTTTGTAGAGCAAGTTATGCAGCAGAGGTAGGAACAGAGAGTGAATCACCACTCTTTGGGAAAAAGTCTGTTCCCCATTTATGCACTGGGCATTCTTCCATAGAAAAAATTTTACAACTTAAACAATGGTTTTCTCTCAAAAAATATCCAATTCACTGAAATACTGCACTTACCAGGTCATGTAATAATCTAAGTATAATACTACCATTATTTAGATCATTATTCTTATATCCTTTTAAATGTTATTTTAGGAATAGTGAAGAATCAAACTATGTTTTTATCAATTAAATTATAAATTTTAGCAGTTTAAACATCCTGAAACCGATACATGAAGATTTCTGGATATGTAATAGTTGCATTTTTATATTCAGCAATGGAACACTGACATACTAAAATGAAAAGAAATCAGAGATATTTCTCTTTGAGTGTTCACATAAATGTTACCTTTTTTCTCTGGCAATGAGACAGTTATTCACACAATTAATACTCAGAGAGTAGGGCAGTATTAAGGGGAAAAAAGAAATGATCAATCAAGAGAGATTTCTGCTTAAAGAATACTTCAGTCTAAATTTTAAGATACCCACATAAATTCGTTGACTGCATACTAGACTGTAGTGAATACCAAAATGAAAATGTCACTAGATATGGTGGAAATTTAGAGGTTGGAGAAATTACTGTCAGGTTGTCTGGTACAGCACTCTGGTACAACTTCATGGTTTACTTGGTATCTGACCTTCACCTTGGCAGATGGCTTAGATTTGATGAGATGACATTATTGGAAGAGTTGAAACAAGGCCATTGAGGTGCAGAGATTCAGTATATGTTCAGGGGAAACTAAGTAATTTACTTTGACTGGAACTTAGCATGTGAGGGGAAAACGGTGGGAGATAATTTCGGAAGCCAGGTGGTAGAATATCTGCAGTATAGATAATTTTATTTTGTTGATAATTGGGGCTCAGGAAGTATTTTTTAAAGGCATTTGTATGAGTAATCCTGGGCTTTTGAAAGGTTACAAGGAAGATTATCTTCCTAGATAAGCAGTTAGACTGGGTATTCATAGTACTGGTAGGATTCTAAGATTCTAAAGTCTTATTTCACCAAATTAAGAAAGGGTTTAGATAACTTTGCCTTAACCAGTGACCAAAAAAGTTCATCCACTAATCCATTTCTGTTTTGGTACTGTAGAATTTGAAGTGAAAATGACATTTTTCTTGTATTTCCCTATATTTAAAGAGAGATGTTAGTATCTCTTGAATGGAGTTAACTGAATTGTATACTCTTTACCTTCTAGATTCTAAAAAATAACAAATGTGGTATGAAATATTAAATATTTCTAGTTTATTATGAAATTTTTAAGAGATCATTCATTTGAACATAAATTTGCATTGAATTTGCTTTGTGTATTACATTTTTTTTTCTCAATATAGTTACAAGTCAGTGTACCTTTAAGATGTCTTGCTATACTCAGATTAAGGAATTAGAATCAGGCTAATTTAGTGTTTTATATGAAATTACTAGTTTTATTTAATTTCAAAATAAAATCTATACGCCCCCCAAAAAAACTTCATTTTATTTATCATGTGTGTTATTTATTGAATAATTGAGACAAGCAGTTGGTATTCATTTCGATAAACACTAAAAATATAAATGAAGTCAACTCAATAATTAACTTGAGTGCTCATGCATTAAAAGTAATGACTAAAGTAACAAAATCTAGTTCTAACTGGTGGTAGTCCATTAGTGGAAACCAAATCATTTCTTAGTGACACATAATCTTGTTATATTCCAATACCTAATGGAAAAATTTTATTAAAAGCCAATGTCTATAATGTCTTAATTATATGTTTTGTTTTGGAGTTAACATGAATGCTGTATAAAAAGCTTGTAACATAGAAATTTTGGAAACTGGCAACAAACAGGATTTGTAATTCTTAGAAAGTGAGGGAACTTCAAAGTTTAATGTTTCTTAATTTTGCATATATATGGTTGGTAGTTGCTTTTGTATTCATAATCATTGCTTTCTTTTTAGTTGAGATGCTAGCATTTGGAAGTATATGGTAGTTAACAGAAAGAGAAGTGTTATGATTGACCTGAGATTTTGGCTTACATAACAGACTAGCTGGTGACTGCTGTCTTGGCTACTTAGCATTGCCATAGAAAATGCCATAGACCTAGGTGGCTTATAAAAAGCAGAAATTTCTCATAGCTTGGGGGCCCAGAAGTCTAAGATCAGAGTGCCAGAATGGGCAAGGTCAAGTTCTGATGGGGGTCTTCATCCAGTTGCAGACTGCTCTCTTTTGCTAATACTGTCACATGGCAGAAAGGGCTGGAGTGCTCTCTGGGGTCCTTTTCATAAGGACACTAATCCTACTCATGGGGGCTCTACCTTCATCAAGTTACCTCCTAAATGCCTCTCCTCCTAATATCACATTGGGAGTAGAGTTTCATTGTATAAATTTTGGGAGGGCACAAACAATTCAGTCCATAACAACTACCATTCACCAAGATAATAGTGCAATAAAAAAAAAGGACTGAGAGATAAAAATCTCAATGTGGCTTTTTAGCTATGAATTTTAATTAACCTTTTATCAACTAGATAGAGATGGCAAGAATACTGTTAGATACTGAGATGTGGAATTCAGAAGTGAGATCTGTGACAGGGAGATATATTTTGGGTGCTATTGGTATATAAATTGTCAGTTGGAAGTATGGAAGTAAACTGGACTACTTATTAAGACAGTGAAAAGAAGAGGAATCTGTGTCCTGGATTGAGGTTTGGGGTATTTATTTAATCGCTTACTGGCCTACTAAAGGAGACTGATCTTGAAAACAAAACCAAGGAAAAGCAGCCGAAAAGTGTAAAGGCAAAAGAGGGAGAGTCATAGCAACTAAAGGAGGAAAAAGTTGAAATTAGGATGAGGATTAATTAATGATAATAATATTTAACACTTATAGAGTGATTACTGACTTGATTCATTAGTGTTTAGTAACACCACAAGGTGAATGCTATTATGTTCATTTATAGATGAGGACGACAAAGTAAGTTAGAGAAGAAAACTTATTCAAATTAACACAAACAATCATTGATGTATATGGTGGGATTGGAACCCAGGAAATACGAATCCAGAGATTATACACTTAGCCCAAATTTTTTTCCATCCAAATAGACTAAAAAAATTTAATTGAAATCTTCTCTATGCATTAAGAACAAACAGAGACCTGTCAAAACAGAAGAAAACTGAAGACAATCAGAGCCATGCTTTCTTCTTCACACACACCTGGGGCCCCACTGAGGACAAATGAAGCCTTACTGATTTCCTTGATGCCATTAGACTCCAGGAGTCATGTGTGATCCATGAGTGATAAGAGCAAAGTAAGTGATATATATAGCACATGGGATTTTGGTTGGTCCTGACATTGAATTGAAAAATTATATTCCAGTTTTCTTTCAGTGAGGTATACTTACTGAAATCTCAATTCATGGGGGAGAGGGGTTAAATGAAGATAATTCCGTCTTTAGATCCAGTAAGGTTACCTAGACATAACATATCAAAGAGTGTTATGTTCAACTACCCAATGGATTAATAGATATTGACTTTCTTGATATATAAAACTCTGTTTCTAAAATTTTGGAATCCTAAAACTACCATAATAATAGAAAAAGTTCTTCTAAGTCTGAGCCCTGCTTTCTTCCACAAGGTTTATTCCTTGTTACTACACTGCTCTGGCAATTACAGTGTTATTCTTCTAGAATGCTATGTTATGTTGAAGCAGGAACATGGGCTCAAGAAAAATCACAGACTGTTTAATTGTGGATTAAGGCTACTCCCCAGAGACTGTAAATGAGGACTACTGCACACATAATTGGCAATTCCCATGTTACTTTAATTAGGTAAGCTGTGTTCACATTGGACTTCATATTATTTTTTGTATACTGGAGATTTCTAAGATATCCTCAGTACATAGGAATCAGAAAAGCCATTAAACTCCCATTTATGGTATACTAGAGTTAAAACATACAGATTAAAATCAACAAAGGGAAAAGACACACAGGCATGTCCAGGAGACACCAGGCACAAGCTTCCAGTGTGGCCACCTGTACAAAATGTTGCCAAGCAGGTAAGATCCATAAGTCAGGACCTCACCTGATGGTGCAGGCGGTTGAGTGCCACACTGTGAAGCTGTCCGCAGCCTCTGCAGCGCAGGTTCGATCCTGGCCGGCCGGCGACGGTCCCACATGGTGCGGCAGACCTCTCCTGTCACGCCTGCTGCTTCCCTCAGCAGTGTATTTCGTCAGCCTGCCTGTTCTGTTCCCTGTTCTGTCTCTGGTGAATCCTCTCACCCTCCCACGAATCTGGCCTGTACCCCGGTTCTTGTATAAATAAATAAATTAATCTTTAAAAAAGAATTGATAAGTCAGAAGAAGAAAAACAAATACCTGATGATAGCAGTTATATGTGGAATATAGAGAAATGAAACAAAAGGTCAAATAAATCAAATTAAGGACTAACCCTAGAAGGCTGACTATAGAACTGCAGCTACCACCAGGCCAGGGGCTGGGAAGGGAGCAGAGTGATTGTAGGTGTCTTGGTGGTGAATGTGGTATGATGACAGCACTTGAGGGGAGGAGATTGTATTCTTCTAATACACAAATAACAATGTAAACCAGTATTACCTCAATTAAAGCAAACATATCTCACCTTGGTCACTTAAATGTAGTAAGTCCCCATGACTGACTGACTGACTGAAGCTACTTATTCTCAGCCCAGTTGAATTCAAACTGTTAGCCAATAGATCAACACACACAACATAGACATTCACCATGAGGTACATTATTAGTGAGTCAGATCCATTCCTGAAGACCTTGGGCATTTCCTGGCTTTGAGTAACTGAGTGCTGCTGATCTTGAACTCTTTCTGGCTCAATTTGTAAATCCCTTTCATTTTTATGCATAGAGTCATTTGCCATACTGCTGTGGCCCCAGATTTATCATGGAGAAAATGTTTACCTGCCCAGGACATAGACTGCAACTCTGTCTGGTAAGAAAATTCCTCATTATGCCCAGCAGCACAGGTTTGTGAAATTTCAGTCGACAAAACTATTGTAAAGCTTGAAACATAAAAGCAAAAGTATAAGGCACACAAACCTAGATTCACCATGAATCACATTATTAGTGGGTCAGATCCAGTCTTGAAGACCTTTAGCATTTTCTGACTTTGAGCAACTGAGTACAGCTTATCTTGATCTCTTTCTGGCTCAATTTGTAAATCCCTTTCATTTTTATGCTTAGAGTCATTTGGCATACTGCTGTGGCCCCAGATTTATCATGGAGAAAATGTTTACCTGCCCAGGACATGGAGCTGCAACTCTGTCTGGTAATAAAATTCCACATTATGCCCAGCAGCACAGGTTTGTGAAATTTCAATTGTCAAAATTATTGTAAAGGTTGAAACATAAAAGGAAAAGTATAAGGCACACAAACCTAGACATTTACCATGAACCATATTATTAGTGGGTCAGATCCAGTCTTGAAGACCTTTAGCATTTTCTGACTTTGAACAACTGAGTACAGCTTATCTTGAACTCTTTCTGGCTCAATTTGTAAATCCCTTTCATTTTTATGCATAGAGTCATTTGGCATACTGCTGTGGCCCCAGATTTATCATGGAGAAAATGTTTACCTGCCCAGGATATAGACTGCAACTCTGTCTGGTGAGAAAATTCCTCATTATGCCCAGAAGCACAGGTTTGTGAAATTCCAATGGACAAAATTATTGTAAAGGTTGAAACATAAAAGGAAAAGTATAAGGCATACAAACCTAGACTTTCACCATGAATCACATTATTAGTGGGTCATATCCAGTCTTAAAGACCTTTAGCATTTTCTGACTTTGAGCAACTGAGTAGAACTTATCTTGAAGTCTTTCTGTCTCAATTTGTAAATCCCTTTCCTTTTTATGCATGGAGTCTTTTGGCATACTGCTGTGGCCCCAGATTTATCATGGAGAAAATGTTTACCTGCCCAGAAAGACATAGATCTACAACTCTGTCTGGTGAGAAAATTCCTCATCGTGCTCAAGAGTACAGGTTTGTGAAATTTCAGTTGACAAAATTAACATAAAGGTTGAAACATCAAAGGGGATGTGTAAGTATCATAAATTAGTGTGTGCACATATTAATTATGCTGTCTGTAATATGTATAGTAATTAGATAGATTACTTTGAGAAATGGCACCTCCCTCCCCAAACAGCATGCATAAGGGCCAAGTCTCTGTGACTCTAGCCCAAAGCACTAGGATTTGTGTGAGCAATACCCCGTGTAAGGAAGATGTGAAATCTATTTTGAGGATTCTGGGAAGATACAGATTTTTCCCATAACTTTGGAAATTTGAGTTAGTACTTCCTGAATAATAGTTCTTCACTTAGTGTACCTTAGAATCATTAGTGAAAGTTAAAAAAAACAGCCTGCTGTTCAGAATCTAGTAACTTGCAGATACTTGCATTTAGTTATTGATTATTAGAAAGCATTATAAGCATTATAAGCATTCAGATACTCATGAATTACTCATTTGGAAAATTAAATGTAAACACATTGACTTTGAGTAAGTTGAACTAAAGATGCTCTTGTATTGACATCACTAGTTATCAGTGCTGAGATAACTCCCATTGTATTAGAGCATTGCACTCTAGTTTTACCTTGGGGCATTGTGTTCCTGATTTCCATTGGTGTTCTTGAGATTTGAGACAGAAAGAATCCCATTTCCAACACTACTGGATCTGTAGAAATACGATTGCTTTGTTCAAGATAGTGCCCTAGTCAAATCTCCGATGGATTAATATTGGTAGCTTTGATATTTTATAAACATCTATTTGTTAAGAATTTTGTCGGGCCTTCCTGGTGGTGCAAGGGGTTAAGATGCAACCTACAAAGCTACCCGCAGCCACTACTTCATGAGTTCAATCCCCAGCCAGGGAGCTACCCAAATGGCGCAGCAGACCTCTCCTGACTCGCTCCCCTTAGCAGTGTATTTCAGTCAGTCTGCCTGTTTTGCTCCCCACTCTGTCTCTGGTGAATCCTCTCATCCCAATACCTCTGGCCTGTACCCCAGTTCTTATATGCATAAATAAATAAATGTTAAGAAAAGAATTTTGTCAAAAAATATATAATATTATTATATAGTATTACTTCAGTTTAATTTTTTTAAAAAATTTCACAAAGCAAAAAAATAGAAATTGTTATTATAACTTTCTGTATATTGTATAAATGTAACTTCTAAAAAGCTGTTCTGTTTTTTGTTGTGTTTTTTTTTTTTTTTCCCCAGAAGGTTGATTTCTACCTACTCTCCTCGTTTGTGAGAATTCCAGTGCTGTTCTACAATAAGATGGCATGTTGCATCTGGAGCATGGATTTAGCAGGTCTGTTCCCTGGATTTATGCAGCAGCCTGATGAATTTAAGTGAGAGTTACTTCACTTCATTTATCCCCCCATTTTTAGAACCAGTAAAGAATATTCACTCTAACATCATCTTCTCATCCCATCTATGGGTAGGGTCCCCAGGATCAGTCTCAGATTTCACGAGTCTTCACAGAGCTCAAAAATGGTGTAATGGTCCAGTTTGTTGCAGAGCCAGACTGTGCTTAACTCTAACGAAGAGAAGTGGGGAATCAGGAGGAGTCTTCAGATGGTGGTTGCCAAGTTTCATTTGTCCTCTTCCAGTGGAGACACATGTACAGCACTTCATTTTTCTCTGAACTGTTGTGTGATCACCTCTGCACAGTTTTGCTAACCAGGTAAGAGCCCTCTAACTTTGGCCACTTGAGTGTGGAAAGACCCCTGAGTAACTTCAGCAACTTATTTTTAGTACCAACTTAAGTCAAATTGATAGAGTTTGGATCAGAGCTTCAGACTACAAACACAGAACATTCACCATGAATCACATTGCTCGTAGATCAGACTCCAGTGCTGAAGACCATGGGCATGTGCAATCTTCCAGCGGTCAAGGCCTGCTGCTCTAAACACCTTTACAGCACAGTTTGTGAGCACTTACCCTTTTTATGTAGAGTACCATTTATCCTATATCATATAATCCTTATATGTTTGCTATAACCGAAACATTTCTACAGCTGTAACTTTTAAATCTTGTACTATGAAATACTTGCATTAATTCTTTTTTTTTTTTTAATCTTAAATTTTATTTTTATATTCCCCCATACAATTGCAAACGCCCCATTCTGACCCCAATCCTTCCCCTCCCGCCCCCCACCCCAAAAAGTGTCTCTGGTTCATAGTTTTTTGTTGATTTTGATATTCACTTTCTTATATTCATTTTCCTGGTCCCTTATTTAAGTTTTCTAGATTCCTGCTATGAGTGAGACCATCCGGTATTTTTCTTTTTCTTTTTGGCTTATTTCGCTGAGCATGATCCCTTCCAGCGCCATCCATGTTGCTGCAAATTGCATGTGTTTATCTTTTTTGAATGCTGAGTAATATTCCATGGTATATATGTACCACATCTTCTTGATCCAGTCATCTACTTTTGGGCATTTGGGTTGTTTCCAAAGCTTAGCTATTGTAAACAGTGCTGCTATAAACATAGGGGTGCAGGTGCTCTTTGGAATTGATGTTTCTGTGTCCTTTGGGTAAATACCTAGGAGTGGAATTGCTGGATCATATGACTTGCATTAATTCTTATTTGTGTTTACTTGCATGCTATTCTTTATAAACAAAAACAGTCATGATTATCATTTCTACAGATAGTTTCTTTTATATTTCCTAATGTTTGAATCTTATTTTTAACTACTGAATTTGACTTGTAAGTGACTAGAATTTGGAATGTTTTGGAAGGGTTCATATACTTATATACTTACTGGTAATATAAGTAGAAAAGTCTCACATTTCTTCATGAATATTAAAATTAACACGAGAGGAAACAGAATAAGCATTTAAATGACATAAATTTAGAATAAAAAAATGTATGATATGCAGAAATGTGACGCATTCCTATGAAACTATATATCAGTAAACAAAAAAGAACAAGAAATTTTTGTTAAAAATTCATTTTTCACCTCAATATTCACAAGTAGATATGAGTATAAACATTGTAAGTATTGACAGGATAATAAACAAATCAGAACAAAGGAGAACAAAATTATAAATAACTTGGCAAAAAAGAATACTTCCCCTACAGTAATTAATTGCTCTTTTGTCACTAGCTTTTCATACTTTCCAGTTGCAATTTCCTCATTCCACTTCAAAATCACCAACCCTAATTTAAGTCTGAGTTATTTAGAAAAATTGACCTTGCCCAGAAGTCACAATCAAACCCATGTTCTCTGGCCAAAGAACTTGGTGGGGAGGCAAACACATCTATGTCAAATCAACGTAGGGTCTTTCCCTGAGATTTTAGGGAAACAATACATTTTTCTCCTACTTCAAAAGTTTTATAGGATAAGCCCAGTGCAGTGGTTGACAAAACACCATGCATTCGAACACAAAGCGAAGGCTTCAAACACAGTTCATCAGGCACACAATTTTTTTTTTACAAATGTAGATGTAAATATTCTTCTGTTTGTTAAAGGATCAACAGCAGATTCCTATTTTACAACTTTTACTAAAAAAATGATGAAGATTATTCTTAATTTAAAGTATCATTGCTTATACTATTCAGTTGTTTGGCTTCATTCCTATTATAATATCAACAAGGTCAGTTGAGTAAGTGAGGCTCAGAATTTATATCTCTTCATTATGGAGGTGATGGTAAAACAGGGACATATACTTTGAGAACCACAGCATTTCCTTAGTGTATATAAATATATACAGTGTTAATATATACACTATATATAGTGTATATAAATATATACTTAGTGTATATAAATATATAATGTATATAAATATATAGTGTGTGTAGATATATAGTGTATGTATAGATATATAGAGTATATGTAGATATATAGTGCATATATAAATATATATTATATATAAAATATATAATATATAAAATGTATAAAGAAATTTAAAGTTTCTAAGCCTCTAAGGGAGAATAGCAAAAAACTATTACTGTGATGATAGAATTCTAAGACTACTGAGATATTCCAGGTGGGTCTAAAGTATAGACACACGTGAAATTGCTTTTCATAAAACCCAGGCTGTTAACAGGTACTATTTGAACACAACCATTTGTAACTACTCCATAGATAACAAAAATCTGAAGTGGTAGGTTAAGTCAGCTATAAGGTTAGCATGGAAGTAATATGAGATCTGATACCATGAAAGAGACAGCTAACACTTTGATTTTTTTTTTAACAATTACAGTATTACTGCACTACAAGTTAGTAAAACAATACTACTTACATTGTAGAAAAAGAACAGAAAAAAATGACTCCAACGGGCAAACAAAATCCACAAAATTCTTAATTCAGAAGGAAATACTAGCAGAACCCCAACACGTGCTGTTGATGTGAATGAGGAATGAGTTACTCAACCTGACAGCTGCAATTCCATGTCCTACTGGGAAGTTCAAAATCAACACCAAAATGTTTTAAGACCTCATGTCTGAGGGAACAGTACTACTTTGTGGAAATTTCAGGTTTGTCACTGAAACGACTGGAAGACATCACATGTCCCCAGCAGCCAAGAATGAATGTGTTCTAAGGACAGTTCTGATTTCCTTTATCCTTGGAGAAAGAGCCATGGTTCTGGGATTTGAGAACCAGTACTCCACTCATAGGAGGAGAGGCCCTACAAGCGAAAAGACCCAAACCATAGAGGCCAGACACTCTGCTGCCTCAAAGTGAAGAGCAGATTGTTTGCAGTGTACCGGCCTGAACCGGGTACTACACATACATCCTTGTGTCTCCACTTGGGACAGGGACGGTTTGAGGTGAAAAGGAGAAGATATTTTGAAATGTTTTGAAACAGGCATTACCTTGCCTAAGATGGGAAGAGCCACCAGTGGCCTGGTTGCAACAGCTGTTTCAGGGTGGGATTCGCCACAGGTCTGCACGGAGCTCCCCCCAACAGTCCTTTTTGCAGGCACACAGATGGCCATCCAAGTTAAAAGGTAGAGACGTCAAATGTCCCCAGCAGCCAAGAATGAAAGTGTTCTGAGAACAGCTCCGAGGTTGGGCTGTGCCCTGGCCAGCGCCCTTGTTTGGGGTATGGAAGAAACCTGCTCCTCTCGTAAAGGTCCCTGGCCCTGTACCCATGTTCCATATCAGAAAGGCCAAGTACCCCGCTTCCTCTTTTACAGAGGAGGCCTGTGATGTTCCTGCGAGAGGCTGGCCTGGGACCTGTGCACACATTACCTTCCCTCTCAAACTAGAGACTTCCTTGTGCTGAGGTAGGAAATTGCAGAGTCTTTTGAGCTGGATTAGGCTCAGTCTTTCGCTCCAGCCTCTTCTGAGAGGCACAAAGTTGGCTTCCCCTGAGCTTGCAGCCAGAGGCAGGGGCTTCAAAAGTTTTCCACAGTGCCTCTGACTAACACTGTGTGCTCTGCACACACAGAGTAGCCTGACCCTTTGCAAGGGAAAGGGCTTCAAGTTTAAGTAGCAAGTGTCCGCATGGAAGCTGGAAAAATAGGACATTAGAAGCATGCTCTTGATGCGCATGGGGCCCAAGGTGTCTCAGAGCCTGCAGGTACTCCCCGTGGGTTGGGAGAGGGCCCTGGTCTTCTGTGTGGTTATCCTGTCTGAAGAAGTATGCAGTCACTACTGTTCTGCGGACATGGCCACATGCTTCCTGTCTCTACATGGGATGTTTTAAAATGCAGTCTGTCAAGATTCCCTGTGTCTTGGAAAAGGGGCTGAGACTGCATGGCTCTGGGGTTGCAGAGCCAAGGCTCAATTCCGCTCTTAGGAGGCCAGGACCAGCATGCCGAAAGTCCAGGCGCCCTCCTGACTCAAAGTGAGGAGCAGACTTTGCATTGAAACGGCCTGCACCTGGTTCTGTGCATACACACTCGTGTCTGCACTCGGAGACTGGAAGGAGTTGAGGCAAAAAGAGGAGAGGGTATTTTCTGATGTCTTGAAATATGTGTTGCTCTGCCTGAAAAGGGCAGAGACACTAGTCTCCCTGGTTGCAAGAGTGGTGCTTCAGTGGGATTCAGCAACGTGTCTCTACTGGGCTCTCCTGAGCTAGTCTAGTTGCAGGCATACTGAGCACCTTCAAAGCTGTAAAGAAAAGAGTGTGTCCAAAAATCCACTCGTGGGCAGACCCCAGTCTGAGTTAGACAGCAACATCACCTCAGAGAGGGTCGTGTGCTGTTTTCTATGCACAGACAGACGAGGAGCACACTTGCAAAGACAGAGCAGCAGGATCCGGATGTGAGCCCAGGCTGGGGCTCCAGGTCCAGGTCTCAGCGTGAGGCAAAGAAGTGACGATGACACCTCAGGAGTTTCACAGAGAACTCAGAGTGGAATACCTGTGGACTCCACAAGAGATCAGTGAGTATGACCCTCCGGGGAATTTGGTGAATAACCAATGCTGGACTGCTCCCGCTTGCGGACATGGCAAGGCCCGCACCTACACGCAGCACCCCTCCACCAGCCACGACCTTCCTTCCCTTGCCTGCCAGAGTTGTTGGGTCCCACCGGGTGAGCTTGTTGAGAATTTACACCTGGAACAAGGAAGTGGGCAGAGGCTGGGTGGGACCAACCTGTGAGTCCAGGCGACAAGGCATGAGAGGGCAGCATTTGCGGAGCTGCCAATGAGGACGTTGCCAACAGGGGTGACGTGAATACCATGCGACTCATTTTGGGGGCCAGAGAGGTGTCCTGTCATTGCCTTCTCTGCCAGGAGGCTACCCAGGGCTTTGGCTCAAGGCACATTCGCCTCAAGATGACACAGTAAAACAAAAAAAGAGCCCAGAAATGCGACTCAGGGTTTTTTTCTGAAGATGAGCCTCCTGTCAGGAATGCCAGCATGGCAATCACGTTATATTGTTGGGCACTCTTGAGGGAAATCTTCACTCACACAGAAGTTGAAAAACAAGGTTGCTGGCACATGTGCCCCATGGGCACATATCAGGTGCCGCCTCCTGGATGGGTTGGAGTAATGGGAAAGGACCCCTTGAGAGTGGTCGCCATTGGTGGTGGTGCAGAGAGTGAATGACTACTGCTTCTGTCATCTCATTCCAGGGTCACGGAGATTGCCTGTGGACATACTTCTTCCTGACAGGGGTTGAGGACCTGAGGGATAGAAAGGAAAAGGGATTCCTCAGGCGACAGCCCAGAGGAACCCTGTGTTCTAGTTGGACCCGAGGTCAGCAGGCCTCATGCCTGCCCTGCCTAAGAGGTTGAAGCAGCTCTCCCCAGATGTGCGATTCCAAGTCCTGGGCAGGCCAACCTCTTCTCCATGATAAATCTGCGGCCATAGCAGTGCGTGGCCAGGCCTGCTTTGTGAAAATTTCAGCTTTGTCTCTGACCCACCTGCCAGAGACGTCAAATGTGCCAAGCGGCCAAGAGTGAATATGTGCTGAGGGCAGATCCAAGGGAGGGCAGCGCCCTGGCCAGCGCCCTTGTTCGGGGTATGAAAGAGACCTGCTCCTCTCGTAGCAGCACCTGGCCCTGTCCCCAAGTTCCAAATCAGAAAGACCACGTACCCTGCTTCCTCTTCTACACAGGAGGCCTGCGATGTCCCTTCGAGGGCCTGGCCCAGGGTCCTGTGCATACGTACCTTCCCTCTCAGCCCAGAGATTCCTCATGCCAAGGTGGGACATTGCAGAGTCTTTTGAGCTGGACTAGGCTCAGTCTTTCAGGTACAAATTTGGCTTTTCCTGAGCTACAGCCCAATGGCAGGGGCTTCAAAGGCATTCCACAGTGCCGCTGATCAACACTGGGCGCTCTGCAGACACAGAGTGGCCGAACCCTTTGCAAGGGGAAGCACTTCACGTTTAAGTATTGGGTATCTCTGCATGGAGCCTAGGAAAAGCAGGACCTTAGAAGTGTGCTGTTGATATGCATCGGACCCAGGTGTCACAGCAGATTCAGGTACTCCCCAGGGGTTTGGAGAGGGGCCTTGTCTTGTGCATTGTTCTCCTGTCAACAGCAGTATGCCACCACGATTGCTCCACAGACATGGCAATGTACATCCTATCTCTCTAGGGGACACTGTAAAATGCAGAGTCTACCCTGATTCCTCCTGTCTTTTGAGAAGGGGCTGAGACACATGGCACGGAGGTTGCAGAGCCAAGGCTCCACTCCGCTCTTAGGAGGCCAGGGCCAGCATGCTGAAATCAAGGCCCCATCCTCCTCAAAGTGAGGTCCTGACTGTTTACAAGGGACCGGCCTGCACCTGGTTGAGCACATACATCCTGTGTCTCCACTCGGGGACTAGAAGGAGTAACAGGCAAAAAACAGGGGAGGATATTTTGAGTTGATTGAAACAGGCCTTACCTGGCCTCATAGGGCAGAGCAACTCTTCTCTCTGAATGCAACAGCAGTATTCACAGCCCTCACAATTGTCTCCTCTGAGGTCCTCCAAGCTCGTCTCATTGCAGGCAGTCTGATGCCTTCCAAGTTGTGACGAAGAGAGTGTCTCCAGAAAATGAACTGGTGGGCAGACCCAGTCTGAGTTAGATAGCCATACTGACCTGGAGAGGATCTTAAGCTAATATTTCCTATGAATAGCCCAGGCACACACATACAAAGATGGAGCTACAGGATCCAGAAGTGTGCCCAGGCGGGGGCTCCAGGTCCAGGTCGCAGCATGAGGCAAAGAAGTGATGCTGACAGCTCAGGAGTTTCATAGAGAACTAAGAGTGGAAGACCTGTGGACTCCACAAGAAATCAGTGAGTATGACCCTGCGGGGGGAGTTTGGTGGTCAACAAAAATTGGAGTGTTCCCACTTGTGGACATGGCAAGGCCTGCACCCACACGCAGCACCCCTCCAACACGAACCGAGCTCGACCCGCCTTTCCTCGCTTGCCAGTGTTGTTGGGTCCCACCGTGTGAGCTTCATGAGATTTTACACCAGGAACAAGGTGGTGGGCAGAGGCTGGGCAGGACCACCCAGTGAGTCCAGGCGAAAGGGCATGAGAGGCCAGCATTTGAATAGGAGGCCCGTGAAGGTATTGCTAACAGGGATGAGGTGAACACCGGGCTACTCATTTTTGGGGCCAGCAGGTGTCCCATCACTACCTTCTCTGCCTTTAAGCTATGCAGGGCTTTGCCTCAAGGCACATTGACCTTTAGATGGCACAGTAAAACAATAAAGAACCCAGAAACAGAAGCAACACAGGGTCTTTTCTGAAGGTGAGCCGCGTGTCAGGAAAGCCAGTGCAGCAACCACATTATATTTTTGGGCACTCATGAGGGAAATCTTCATACAGAAGTTGAAAAACAAGGTTGCTGGCACATGTGCCCCATGTGCACACATCAGGTACCGCCTCCAGGATGGGTGGAGTAATGGGAGAGGACCCCTTGGGAATGGTCTCTATTGGTGGTGGTGCAGGGCACGGATAAACTCTGCTTCTGTCATCTCCTTCCAGGGTCACACAGATTGCCTGTGGACATACTTCTCCCTGTCAGGGGTTGAGGACCTGAGGAACAGAAAAGAAAAGGATTCCTCAGGCGACTGCTAAGATAAGCACCTCTGTTCTGGTTAGACCCGAGGTCAGGAGGCCTCCCGCCTGCCCTGCCTAAGTGTTTGAGGCAGGAGTCACTCTCCTTGTACATGCACTTCAAGTCCTGGGCAGGCCAACCACTTCTCCATGATGAATCTGCAGCCACAGCAGTCTGCGGCCACGCCTGCTTGGTGGAAAAATGGGCGTTCTTACTGACCCACTTGCCAGACATGTCAAATGTCCCGTGTGGCCATGAATGAATGCGTGCTGAGGACTGCTCCTCTCATAGCAGCTCCTGTCCCTGTCCCCAGGTTCCAGATGAAAAAGGCCACGTACCCCTCTTGTACAGAGGAGGCCAGCATTGTCCCTTCGAGAGCCTGGCTCAGGAGCCGGTGCATCCCTTACCTTCCCTCTCAACCCAGAGATTCCTCATGCCGAGGTGGGACATTGCAGAGTCTTTTGAGCTGGACTAGGCTCAGTCTTTCAGACACAAATTTGGCTTTTCCTGAGCTGCAGCCCAACAGCAGGGACTTCAAAGTTGTTCTGCAGTGCTGCTGCTCAACACTGGGCGCTCTGCGGACACAGAGTGGACTGAACCCTTTGCAAGGGGATGTGCTTCAAGCTTAAGTATCGGGTATCCCTGCACGGAGCCAAGGGGAAGCAGGGCATTAGAAGTGTGCTGTTGACGTGCATGGGACCCAGGTGTCACAGCGGCTTCTGGTACTCCCCAGGGGTTCGGAGAGACCCTGCTCTTGTGCGTGGTTCTCCTGTCCACAGCAGTATGCAGCCACAACTGCTCCACAGACTTGGCCATGTACTTCCTATCACTCGAGGGGACACTTAAAATGCAGAGTCTGCCTTGATTCCTCGTGTCTTTGGGGAAGGGGCCGACACTCAAGGCTCGGTGTTTGCAGATCCAAGGCTCAACTCCGTTCTTAGGAGGCCAGGGCCAGCATTCCACAAGGCCAGGTGCCACCTGCCTCAAAGTGAGGTCCTGACTGTTTGCCAGAGACCGGCCTGCACCTGCTTGGGCACGTACATCCTGTGTCTCCACTCGGGGATTAGAATGAGTAACGGGCAAAAAGTAGGGGAGGATATTCTGAGTTGGTTGAAACAGGCCTTTCCTGGCCACATAGGGGCAGAGCGACTCCTCTCTGATTGCAACCGCAGTGTTCCGAGGGGCTTCGCAAATGGCTCCTCCGAGGTCCTCGAAGATTTCCTCTTGGCAGGCACTCCAATGCCTTCCAAGTTGTGAAGAAGAGAGTGTCTCCAGAAAATGAACTGGTGGGCAGACCCAGTCTGAGTTAGACAGCCGTATTCACCTTGGAGAGGGACTTGAGCTAATGTTTCCTGTGCATAGACCAGGCGCACACGTACAAAGACGGAGCAGCAGGATCCGGATGTGAGCCCAGGCTGGGGCTCCAGGTCCAGGTCTCAGCATGAGGCAAAGAAGTGACACTGACAGCTCAGGAGTTTCACAGAGAACTCAGAGTGGAAGACCTGTGGACTCCACAAGAGATCAGTGAGTATGATCCTTGGGGAGTTTTTACCGATTAGCCAACCATGGAGTGTTCCCGCTTGCAGAGGTGGCATGGCCCCACCCACACGTAGCACCCCTCTAATACCCACAGACCCCGACCCTCCTTCCCTCCCCTGCCAGAGTTGTTGGGTCCCACCGGGTGAGCTTGGTGAGAATTTTACACCTGGACCAATTTTACACCTGGACCAAGGTGGTGGGCACCAAGGATGCGGGACCACCCTCTGATTCCAGGTGATAGGTCATGAGAGGCCAGCATTTGAGGAGTCTTCCCATGAGGATATTGCCAGAAGGGGTGAAGTGAACGCTAGGGTACTCATTTTGGGGACCAGGCAGGTGTCCTGACACTGCCTTCTCTGCATTTAAGGTACCAAGGGCTTTGCCTCCAGGCACATTCGCCTTCAGATGGCACAGTAAAACAAAAAAGAACCAGAAACGCAAGCAACTTAGTAATTTTCCTGAACTGACCCTGGTTTTAGGAATGCCAGCGACGCAGCTGTATTTTGTTTTGGGCACTCATGATGGAAATTGTCACCCAGAAGTTGAAAAACAAGGTTGCTGGCACATGTGCCCCATGTGCGCATAGCAGGTGTCGCCTCCAGGATGGGTGGAGTAATGGGAGAGGACCTCTTGGGAGTGGTCGCCATTGGTGGTGGTGCAAGGCTCAGATGAACTCTGCTTCTGTCATCTCATTCCAGGGTCACGGAGGTTGCCTGTGGACATACTTCTTCCTGTCAGGGGTTGGCGACCTGATGACAGAAAGGAGAAGGATTCCTGAAGCGACAGCCCAGAGGAGCACCTGTGTTCTGGTTAGACCCGAGGTTTGCAGGCCTCCCGCCTGCCCTGCCTATGAGGTTGAGGCAGGAGCCGTACTCCCCATACGTGCACTTGCGAGCCCTGGGCAGGCCAACCTTTTCTCCATGATGAAAGTACAGCAACAGCAGTGCGTGGCCATGCCTGCGTGGTAGGAAAATTGGCTTCTCATTGACCAACTTCCAGATATGTCAAATGTCCCATGCGGCCATGAATGAATGCATGCTGAGGACAGCTCAGATGCTGTGGTGGGCCCTTGCCAATGCCATTCTTCCGGTTGTGGAAGAAACCTGCTCCTCTCATAGCAGCTCCTGGCCCTGTCCCCAAGTTCCAGATCAAAAAGGCCACATGACCCTCTTCGTGTTCTACAGAGGAGGCCTGCGATGCCCCTTCTAGAGCCTGGCCCAGGGGGCGGTGCATCCCTTACCTTCCCTCTCAGCCCAGAGATTCCTCGTGCCGAGATGGGACATTGCAGAGTCTTTTGAGCTGGACTCGGCTCAGTCTTTCAGGCACAAATTTGGCTTTTCCTGAGCTGCAGCCCGATGGCAGGGGCTTCAAAGTTGTCCTGCAGTGCCGCTGCTCAACACTGGGAACTCTGCACACACAGTATGGCCGAACACTTTGCAAGGGGACGCGCTTCAAGTATCGGGTATCTCTTCACGGAGCCTAAAAGCAGGACCTTAGAAGCGTGCTGTCGACATACATGGGACCCAGGTGTCACAGTGGCTTCAGGTACTCCCCAGGGGTTCAGAGAGACCCTGCTCTTGTGCGTGGTTCTCCTGTCCACAGCAGTATGCAGCCACTACTGCTCCACAGACCTGGCCATGTACTTCCTATCACTCGAGGGGACACTTAAAATGCAGAGTCTGCCCTGATTCCTCGTGTCTTTGGGGAAGTGACTGAGAAACAAGACTCAGGGGTTGCAGAGCCAAGGCTCATGTCTGCTGTTAGGAGGCCAGGGCCAGCATGCCGAAAATCCAGGCGCCACCTACCTCAAAGTGAGGTCCTAACTGTTTGCAAGGGACCGGCCTGCATCTCGTTAGGCAAATACATCCTGTCTCCACTTGGGGACTAGAAGGAGTAATGGGCAAAAAGTAGGGAAGGTTATTTTGAGTTGATTGAAACAGGCCTTACCTGGCTTCATAGGGGCAGAGCGACTCTTCTCTCTGCATGCAAAAGCAGCATTCCAAGGGGCTTCACAAATGTCTTCTCCGAGGTCCTCGAAACTTGCCTCATTGCAGGCATTCTGATGCCTTCTAAAGGCATCAGACGAAGAGAGTATCTCCAGAAAATGAACTGGTGGGCAGACCCAGTCTGAGTTAGACAGCCATGTTCATCTTGGAGAGGATCGTGTCTAATATTCCCTATGCACAGACCAGGCACACACGTACAGAGACAAAACAGCAGGATGCGGATTGAGCCCAGGCTGGGGCTCCAGGTCCAGGTCTCAGCGTGAGGAAAAGGAGTGACAGTGACAGCTCAGGAGTTTCACAGAGCACTCAGAGTGGAAGACCTGTGGACTCCACAATAGATCAGTGAGTATGACCCTCGGGGAGTTTGCCGATTACCCAACCCTGGAGTGTTCCTGCTTGCAGAGGTGGCATGGCCCCACCCACATGCAGCACCCCTCCAACACGCACAGGCCCGACCCTCCTTCCCTCTCCTGCCAGAGTTGATGGGTCCCACCGGGTGAGCTTGGTGACAATTTTACACCTGGACCAAGGTGGTGGGCAGAGGCTGTGCGGGACCACCCTCTGAGTCCAGGTGATAGGGCATGAGAGGGCAGCATTTGAGGAGTTTTCCTGTGAGGATATTGCCAGCAGGAGTGAAGGAAATGCTAGGCTGCTCATTTTAGTTGCGAGGCAGGTATCCTGTCACCACCTTCTCTGCATTCGGGTACCCAGGGCTTTGCCTCCAGGCACATTTGCCTTAAGATGGCACAGTATAACAAAAAAGAATCCAGAAATGCAAGCCACTCAGTTATTTTCCTGAACTGAGCCTCGTTTTAGGAACACCAGTGCAGCTGTCACGTTGTAATGTTGGGCACTCATGAGGGAAATCGTCACACAGAAGTTGAAAAACAAGGTTGCTGGCACATGTGCCCCATGTGCACACATCAGGGTCCGCCTCAGGATGAGTAGAGGAATGGGAGAGGACCCCTTGAGAGTAGTCTCCATTGGTGTAGGTGCAGGGAGTGAATGACCACTTCTTCTGTCATCTCAATCCAGGATCACGGAGGTTGCCTGTGGACATACTTCTCCCCGGCAGGGCTTGAGGACCTGATGACAGAAAGGAGAATGATTCCTGAAGCAACAACCCACAGGAACCCTGTGTTCTGGTTAGACCCGACGTCAGCAGGCCTCACGCCTGCCCTGCCTATGAGGTTGAGACAGGAGCCGCTCTCCCTGTACATACATTTCCGGGTTCCGGGCAGGCAACCTCTTCTCCATGATGAATCTGCGGCCACAGCAATGCGCAGCCGCGACTGCCTGGTGGAAATATTGCCTTTGACTCTGACCCACCAGCCAGAGACTTGAGATGTCCCTCGGGGCCATGAATGAATGTGTGCTGAGGGCAGCTCCGATGGAGGGATGCGCCTTGGTCAAAGCCCTTGTTCAGGGTATGGAAGAGACCTGCTCCTCTCATAGCAGCTGCTGGGCCTGTCCCCAAATTCCAGATCAAAAGGGCCACGTGACCCTCTTCCTCTTGTACAGAGGAGGCCTGCGATGTCGCTTCGAGCCTGTGGTCCAGGGGCCGGTGCATCCCTTACCTTCCCTCGCAGCCCAGAGATTCCTCATGCCGAGGTGGGACATTGCAGAGTCTTTTGAGCTGGACTAGGCTCAGTCTTTCAGGCACAAATTTGGCTTTTGCTGAGCTGCAGCCCAAAGGCAGGGACTTCAAAGTTGTTCTGCAGTGCCGCTGCTCAACACTAGGCACTCTGCAGACACAGAGTGGACTGAACCCTTTGCAAGGGGAAGCGCTTCAAGCTTAAGTATCAGGTATCTCTGCACGGAGCCTAGGTAAAGCAGGGCATTAGAAGTGTGCCGTTGACGTGCATGGGACCCAAGTATCACAGCGGCTTCAGGTACTGCCCAGGGGTTCGGAGAGGCCCTGCTCTTGTGCGTGGTTCTCCTGTCCACAGCAGTATGCAGCCACAACTGCTCCACAGGCCTGGCCATGCACTTCCTAGCTCTTGAGGGGACACTTAAAATGCAGAGTCTGCCCTGATTCCTCGTGTCTTTGGGGAAGGGGCCGACACTCAAGGCTCAGGGGTGGCAGAGCCAAGGCTCAACTCCGTTCTTAGGAGGCCAGGGCCAGCATTCCACAAGTCCAGGCGCCACCTGCCTCAAAGTGAAGTCCTGACTGTTTGCCTGGGACCGTCCTGCACCTGCTTGGGCACGTACATCCTGTGTCTCCACTCGAGGATTAGAATGAGTAACGGGCAAAAAGTAGGGGAGGATATTCTGAGTTGGTTGAAACAGGCCTTTCCTGGCCACATAGGGGCAGAGCGACTCCTCTCTGATTGCAACCGCAGTGTTCCGAGGGGCTTCGCAAATGGCTCCTCCGAGGTCCTTGAAGCTTTCATCGTTGCAGGCACTCCGATGCCTTCCAAGTTGTGAAGAAGAGAGTGTCTCCAGAAAATGAACTGGTGGGCAGACCCAGTCTGAGTTAGACAGCCATATTCACCTTGGAGAGGAGCGTGTCTAATGCTTCCTGTGCACAAACCAGGCGCACACATACCGAGACGGAGCAGCAGGATGCGGATGTGAGCCAGGCTGGGGCTCCAGGTCCAGGTCTCAGCTTGAGGAAAAGGAGTGACACTGACAGCTCAGGAGTTTCACAGAGAACTCGGAGTGGAAGACCTGTGGACTCCGCAATAGATCAGTGAGTATGACCCTCTGGGGAGTTTGCCGATTACCCAACCCTGGAGTGTTCCCGCTTGCAGAGGTGGCATGACCCCACCCACATGCAGCACCCCTCCAACACCCACAGGCCCGACCCTCCTTCCCTCTCCTGCCAGAGTTGTTGGGTCCCACCGGGTGAGCTTGGTGACAATTTTACAACTGGACCAAGGTGGTAGGCAGAGGCTGGGAGGGACCACCCTCTGATTCAGGCATTAGGGCACGAGAGGGCAGCATTTGAGGAGTTTTCCTGTGAGGATATTGCCAGCAGGAGTGAAGTAAATGCTAGGGTACTCATTTTGGGTGCGAGGCAGGTATCCTGTCACCACCTTCTCTGCATTCGGGTACCCAGGGCTTTGCCTCCAGGCACATTCGCCTTAAGATGGCACAGTAAAGCAAAAAAGAACCCAGAAATGCAAGCCACTCAGTTATTTTTCTGAACTGAGCCTTGTTTTAGTAACGTCAGCGCAGCTGTCACGTTGTAATGTTGGGCACTCATGAGGGAAATCGTCACACAGAAGTTGAAAAACAAGGTTGTTGGCACATGTGCCCCATGTGCACACAGCAGGGTCCGCCTCAGGATGGGTGGAGTAATGGTGTAGGACCCCTTGAGAGTAGTCTACCTTGGTGGTGGTGCAGGGAGTGAACGACCGCTTCTTCTGTCATCTCAATCCAGGATCACGGAGGTTGCCTGTGGACATACTTCTCCCCGGCAGGGCTTGAAGAACTGATGACAGAAAGGAGAAGGATTCCTGAAGCGACAGCCCAGAGGAACCCTGTGTTCTGGTTAGACCCGAGGTCAGCAGGCCTCACGCCTGCCCTGCCTATGAGGTTGAGACAGGAGCCGCTCTCCCTGTTCATACACTTCCGAGTTCCGGGCAGGCAACCTCTTCTCCATGATGAATCTGTGGCCACAGCAATGCGCAGCCGCGACTGCCTGGTGGAAATATTGCCTTTGACTCTGACCCACCAGCCAGAGACTTGAGATGTCCTCGGGGCCATGAATGAATGTGTGCTGAGGGCAGCTCCGATGGAGGGATGCGCCTTGGTCAAAGCCCTTGTTCAGGGTATGGAAGAGACCTGCTCCTCTCATAGCAGCTGCTGGGCCTGTCCCCAAGTTCCAGATCAAAAGGGCCACGTGACCCTCTTCCTCTTGTACAGAGGTGGCCTGCGATGTCGCTTCGAGCCTGTGGTCCAGGGGCCAGTGCATACCTTACCTTCCCTCTCAGCCCAGAGATTCCTCATGCCGAGGTGGGACTTTGCAGAGTCTTTTGAGCTGGACTAGGCTCAGTCTTTCAGGCACAAATTTGGCTTTTCCTGAGCTGCAGCCCAACAGCAGGGACTTCAAAGTTGTTCTGCAGTGCCGCTGCTCAACACTAGGCACTCTGCAGACACAGAGTGGCCTGAACCCTTTGCAAGGGGACGTGCTTCAAGCTTAAGTATCGGGTATCTCTGCACGGAGCCAAGGGGAAGCAGGGCATTAGAAGTGTGCTGTTGACGTGCATGGGACCCAGGTGTCACAGCGGCTTCAGGTACTCCCCAGGGGTTCGGAGAGACCCTGCTCTTGTGCGTGGTTCTCCTGTCCACAGCAGTATGCAGCCACAACTGCTCCACAGACCTGGCCATGTATTTCCTATCTCTTGAGGGGACACTTAAAATGCAGAGTCTGCCTTGATCCCTCGTGTCTTTGGGGAAGGGGCCGAGACTCAAGTCTCGGGGTTTGTAGATCCAAGGCTCAACTCCGTTCTTAGGAGGACAGGGCCAGCATTCCACAAGGCCAGGCACCACCTGCCTCAAAGTGAGGTCCTGACTGTTTGCCAGAGACCGGCCTGCACCTGCTTGGGCACGTACATCCTGTGTCTCCACTCGGGGATTAGAATGAGTAACGGGCAAAAAGTAGGGGAGGATATTCTGAGTTGGTTGAAACAGGCCTTTCCTGGCCACATAGGGGCAGAGCGACTCCTCTCTGATTGCAACCGCAGTGTTCCGAGGGGCTTCGCAAATGGCTCCTCCGAGGTCCTCGAAGATTTCCTCTTGGCAGGCACTCCGATGCCTTCCAAGTTGTGAAGAAGAGAGTGTCTCCAGAAAATGAACTGGTGGGCAGACCCAGTCTGAGTTAGACAGCCGTATTCACCTTGGAGAGGAGTGTGTCTAATGTTTCCTGTGCACAGACCAGGCGCACACGTACCGAGACGGAGCAGCAGGATGTGGATATGAGCCCATGGTGGGGCTCCAGGTCCAGGTCTCAGCGTGAGGCAAAGGAGCAACACTGACAGCTCAGGAGTTTCACAGAGAACTCAGAGTGGAAGACCTGTGGACTCCACAACAGATCAGTGAGTATGACCCTCCGGGAGTTTGCCGATAACCCAACCCTGGTGTGTTCCCGCTTGCAGAGGTGGCATGGCCCTTCCCACACGCAGCACCCCTCCAACACGCACAGGCCCCCACCCTCCTTCCCTTTCCTGCCAGAGTTGATGGGTCCCACCGGGTGAGCTTGGTGAGAATTTTACACCTGGACCAAGGTGGTGGGCAGAGGCTGTGCACAACCACCCTCTGTTTCCAGGAGACAGGGCTTGAGAAGCCAGCATTTGAGGAGTCTTCCCGTGAGGATATTGCCAGCAGGGGTGAAGTGAACACTAGGCTAATCATTTTGTGTGCCAGGCAGGTGTCCCATCCTTGCCTTCTCTGCATTTGAGGTACCCAGGGCTTTGCCTCCAGGCACATTCACCTTAAGATGGCACAGTAAAGCAAAAAAGAACCCAGAAACGCAGGCCACTCAGTTGATTTCCTGAACTGAGCCTCGTTTTAGGAACAGCAGCGCAGCAGTCACGTTGTATTTTTGGGCACTCATGAGGGAAATCGTCACACAAAAGTTGAAAAACAAGGTTGCTGGCACATGTGCCCCATGTGCACACATCAGGTCCGCCTCCAGGATGGGTGGAGTAATGGGAGAGGACCCCTTGGGAGTGGTCGCCATTGGTGGCGGTGCAGGGAGTGAATGAACTCTGCTTCAGTCATTTCATTCCAGGGTCACCAAGATTGCCTGTGGACATACGTCTCCCTGTCAGGGGTTGAGGACCTGATGACAGAAAGGAGAAGGATTCCTGAAGCGACAGCCCAGAAGAACCCTGTGTTCTGGTTAGACCCGGGGTCAGCAGGCCTCCCGCCTGCCCTGCCTAAGAGGTTAAGTCAGAAGCCGCTCTCCTCGTATGTGCACTTCCGAGTCCTGGACAGGCCAACCTCTTCTCCATGATGAATGCGTCCACAGCTGTGCACGGCCATGCCTGCCTGGTGGAAATTTCAGCGTTTCTCTGACCGACCTGCCAGAGATGTCAAATGTGCCCAGCGGCCAAGAGTGAAAGTGTGCTGAGGACAGCTCTAAGGGAGGCAGCACCTTGGCCAGTGACCTTTTTCTGGACATGGAATAAACCTGCTCCTTTCGTAGCAAATCTTGGCGCCGTCCCCAATTTCCAGATCAGAAAGGCCATGTATTCCGCTTTCTCTTGTACAGAGGAGGTCTGTGATGTCCCTTCGAGAGCCTGGCCCAGAGTCCTTTGCGTCGCTTACCTTCCCTCTCAACCCAGGATGTCCTCTTGCCGAGGCGGGACATTGCAGAGTCTGAGCTGGACTATGCTCAGTCTTTTAGGCACAAACTTGGCTTTTCCTGAGCTGCAGCCCGTACTTCAGAGTTTCAAAGGCGTTCTGCGGTGCCGCAGCTCAACACTGCCCCTCTGCAGCCACAGAGCATCCCGAACCCTTTGCACAGGGAAAGAGCTCAAGTTTAAGTATCGGGTATCTCTGCATGGAGGCTAGTAAAAGGAGGCCCTTAGAAGCATGCTATTGATGTGCATGGGACCCAGGTGTCACAGCAACCTCAGGTACTCTCCAGGGGTTAAGAGAGGGCCCTGGTCTAGTGCATGGTTCTCCTGACCACTGCAGTATTAAGCCACAAATGCTCTACAGACGTGGCCATGTTCTTCCTGTCTCTCAAGGGGACACTGTAAAATTAGAGTCTGCCCTGATTCCTCATGTCTTTGGAGACTGGGCTGAGACATGTGCCTCAGGGGTTGCAGAGCTAGGGCTCAAGTCTGCTGTTAGGAGACCAGGGCCAGCATACTGAAAGGCCAGGCCCCACCTGCCTCAAAGGGACAGGCTGACTGTTTGCAAGGGACCGCCCTGCACCTCGTTGGACACAAACATCCTGTGTCTCCCCATGGGGACTAGACGGAGTAACAGGCAAAAAGCAAGGGAGGATATTTTGAGTTGACTGAAACAGGTTTACTTGGCCTCATACGGGCAGAGTGACTCTTGTCTCTGAATGCAACAGCAGTGTTCAGACGGCTTCGCAGATATCTTCTCTGAGTTCCTTCCAAGCTAGCCTAGTTGCAGGCACTCTGATGCCTTCCAAGTTGTGACGAAGAGAGTGTCTCCAGAACACTATCTGGTGGGCACATCCCAGTCTGAGTTAGACAGCCAGACTCACACTTCTAAAGTCCTGCTTTTTCGAGTCTCCATTGCAGAGATACTCGATACTTAAATTTGAAGCTCTTCACCTTGCACAGGGCTCCTGCCAGTCCGAGTCTGCAGAGCGCGCAGTGTCGAGCAGAGTGACTCAAAAGTGCAGAGTGACTCTTCTCTCGAAATGCTACAGCAGCGTTGAGAGTGGCTTTGCAAATGTTTCCTCCGAAGACCTCCAAGCTAGCCTCGTTGCAGGCACTCTGATTCCTTCCGAGTCGTAAAGAAGAGAGTTGTCTGCAGAAAATCAGCTCGTGTGCATACCCCAGTCTGAGTTAGACAGCCATATTCACCTTGGAGAGCATCGTGTGCTAATGTTTTCTTTGTACAGATTAGGTGCACACACACAAAGACAGAGCAACAAGATCCGGATGTGTGCCCACGATGGGGCTCCAGTTCCAGGTCTCAGCATGAGGCAAAGAAGTGACACTGACAGCTCAGGAGATTCACAGAGAACTAAGATTGGAAGACTGGGTGGACTCCACAAGAGCTCAGTGAGTATGACCCTCTGGTGAGTTTGCCGAATTCCCAATACTGGAGTGTCCCTGCTTGCAGACATGACATGGCCCGCACCCACATGTACCACCCTTCCAACACCCCCGGCCCCAGCCCTCCTTCCCTCTCTTGCCAGAGTTGTTGGGTCCCACCATGTGAGCTTGGTGAGAATTCTACACCTGGATCAAAGTGGTGATCAGGAGCTGGGTGGGACCACCCTCTAAGTCCAGGCAACAGGGCATGAGAGGCCAGCATTTGAGGAGTCTTCCCATTAGGATATTGCCAGCAGGGGAGAAGTGAACACTAGGCTAATCATTTTTGCGTCAGGCAGATGTCCCAACACTGCCTTCTCTGCATTTAAGGTACCCAGGGCTTTGCCTTCAGGAACATTTACCTTAAGATGGCACACTAGGGCCTCCCTGGTGACACAGCGGTTGAACGCTGGGCTCCAAAGCTTTCCACAGCCTCTTCAGTGCCGTTTTGATCCCCGGCCACTGGCGAGGTTCCCGATGGTGCGCAGACCTCTCCTGCCGCTCCCACTGCTCCCCTCAACAGTGTATTTCGTCAGTCTGCCTGTTCTGTTCCCCGCTCTGGCTCTGGTGAATTCTCTCACCCTCCCGTGCTTCTGACTGTACCCACTGCTTGTATAAATAATTAAATAAATCTTAAAAAAAAAGTGGCACAGTAAAGCAAAAAAGAACCCAGAAACACAAGCAACTCAGGTATTCTCCTGAACTGAGCCTCGTTTTAGGAACGCAGGTGCGGCAGTCACGTTGTATTGTTGGGCATTCATGAGGGAAATCATCACACAGAAGTTGAAAAACAAGGTTACTGGCACATGTGCCCCATGTGAACACACCAGGTTCCACCACCAGAATGTGTGGAGTAATGGGAGAGGACCCTTTGAGAGAGGTCTCCTTTGGTGATGGTGCAGGGAGTGAATGAACACTTCTTCTGTCATCTCATTCCAGGGTCA